CGATATTCACGACATATTCACATACTCAAGATGTGTGGGGTGAGTCGAAGAACCACAAATATCCACAGTTCAAGTACCAGAATCTAAGAATGTGTATAGCGGAAGAGATATTTTCTAGAATTGTTGTGTGCTAAATACTGAACCATTATAGTGTCTTTATCGGCTCACATATACCCATAATATTCCTATTAGGATTCTATAAGAATATCTTAAATCAATTCAAATTGAAAATAAATATCTTGGAGCTTATTCTAATCTCGTATAAGTGAGATTTGCGAGTGTATCTAAATTTCCTAGAAATGAGTTTTGAGACTATCTAGGACATTTGTATATCTGATAAACAACTTTGTCGTCCTAGTATGGACGCACTAATTAGGTCTCATGGGACTCGAAGTTCAATGGTAAGTACCATATATACGAGTCAGCCTTCACAAATGATTTGCAATTTGTTTGATGGAAATCATTAACCAGCTATGTAGGACAATTTATTTGCTGTTTCAAGACCCTTTTTGGGATTGTACTCCATCTCAAAATCATTGAAAAGTCACAATATGGCATCAATGCATTGTCGTCTTCAATGTGGAAATATTTTTTAGGACCACCACCTAAGCACATGTAGTTCATGTAAAGAGGAGTACCCGGGTATAGAGGGCTTTGGGACCCATCAAATCAATAGGACAAGGTAGACGAATCAAAATGTGTCAGTTACTTATAATCAAAACGGTTTGATATATTAATGGGTCGATCTAGCTCATGACGTCCAACCCAATGTAATTTCTGTTGAATTCAGCTGCACGAACTATGACTCACCTAGTAACCTAGATGTAGGGGGTCAATGGAGCGAGCCAGCCCCTTTCTCCATGGTAGAGCCCTAGCCGTCCAACCAGCCCTATAACTATAGGGCGAAAAAGGACCGATCGTCAATATTTTCTAAATACAAATTTTTGACAAAGAAAAAGAAAACACACACACACATAGATTTGGAAGGCCGGCCCTATCCAACTTTAGGACCTATAAAAATAGTGTTCGAACAAAGTCAGGCGTTGGCCAACGGAGACCAGAGCTCTGTTGCCATTCCTACCGAGATGAAAAAATAAATCCATAATAAATCAAAAAATAAGAAAAAGGGGACATATTTTGTCCCTATCCAACGTAGGTAAAAATAATATTTTTAGTAGATTTTGATAAAAGTTAATGAAATGTGTAATTGAAAAGTTGTGGATATCTTAAAATGTGTGATTAAAATTAATTGTTGGCTTTAGCTTAATATTTTAATTTAATTTTAATCTACTTAGATCATCTCCAACCGTAGTGTAAAATTGAGTGTAAATTGATATCTTCAAAATTACTTTTACATCCTCAATTATATCCTGGTGAATCCAAATTCAAATTTTACTCCAATAAAAAGATCTAAATCCATTTTTTTATCTCTCGTGAACGTAAAAAAATGTAATTTTTACATTTTCTACCGAAAATACAATTTTCGGTAAAGGTTTTTGATCTCTTTGAAAATCTAAATTACAATTTAAATATAACTTACATCACATTTGGAGATACTCTTATAACGGGGGGTGGGGTTTGAATTTTCCCTAAAGCATAGGTATTCGACTTGTGTCAACTACCTTGGAAGTTTTAACAATAATCGAGATATTTTATTTTTTTATAAGAACAATAATCGAGATTTGAGAGTTCTGTTCCAGTACAATCTTTCACTCATTGCGAGGGCACACATTTCAAAAATGGTGAATGATCCTACTTGAGAAATCCACATTAAAATCCCATGTGATCATACTATAGAGTAAGCATTTGTGCATAATTCTTAGTGATATACTCAGCATATCCCTTTTTTGTTGCAATAATAGTCCATTGTGTACAAAACAATGGCTTCAATATTTGAAAGTGACCTTTTACGTATTTGATAGAAGAACAATGCTCAATGTATAGAAAAAAATTTCGGGATTTTTTACAGAATGTCACATGGCAATATTTCGTTGGATTTAGAATTAAAAAATATAGTTAAAACAGCTAATCAAGTATTGTCATCTCAAAATCTATAAAATCCTTGGTGCATTTTCCCTGTACAAATGGTAAAATCCTTGCTCCAAAGAACGAGAAGTGCTTGAGGTACAGATTGGGGGTTCACAGAACCCCCACATATACCTCACAATAGGGGGGGTTGGGTGCGAGGGATTTTTTATTACAATGAGTCCCGCATGGAGCCATTCATGTGAGTATAGGTAAACCATATGTGAAGCAATTTTCTGTACATTTAGCTTTCTTCCCAAAGAACACCTTCTGAGATAGTGGTTACAGTTTATCCATTATGCTCCTTACCCTCAGCAACAGTAAAGATTCCGAAAACCCATGTTCAAATGGCCCTACCTGTCTTCCATCTCCAAAATTTTCTTTATGATGAAAATTATTGATGGGGTTGCCAATTATTCTTTGTAAAATTGCAACCACGGTGCTAAACATTTCAATTTTATGCAAACTTGATTCAAACATTTAGGGGCTGTCTCGCTGTGATTTCTCCCCCAACCAAATCGATTAATGGACCGTTGCGTACTGCAGCATGGGTCCCAGTTTGCAGCCAAATTTGACTTCATCAAAATCAAATGTCAAAAATGCCCTGTTTGATGGCAAAATGATTTTTGAGGTAATGGCATAAAGGTCATTTTGCCATAAATATTCAATAAGAATGGCTGCCATGGCAGTGTACTGCAAATAAGATGACAAGCAACGGTCCCTTTTATCTTATTTCAACGGTCCAATTTTCACTAGGTAGTGCTACCAGACAGCCTCTTAATTTGTTACATCCACAGTACCAAACTTTGTAAAAACTCTCACTTGAAGTCCAAATGGATGAAAACTGTTAGTTTGACCGTTAGTTAACCAAATAATGAACCTTGATAATAATTTTCACTTATTTTAAAATGATAAAATGGAAACTTTATTTTTTTTATAATAAAATAACTATAATCAAATAATTTCTTCTTCTCCATCCATCCCATACATACCCACTTACACCCCCAAAATCACCACCACCACTACCAGACGCCTCCATCGCACCCACTCACCTCCAGCACCACCGTCATCCCCTCCACCTCCATCACACTACAACATCTCCACCTCAAATCCACAACCCATACCTTTCCGCCCACAACCTCCTCTTCATCTTTTCACAAATTTCTAATTCCAAATTTCTAGTAGAGGATAGGGCAACAGATTTCACTTCAACAATTTTAATAGTGAAAGCTCGTGAAAATAATTCAAGAACCCGTTCATTAATACATAAAATGGCCTTGCAAGCTGATCCCACAGGAAAAAATATTTCTAGGGTACATCCTTCTGGAAGTAAATGCTCAGAATTAGAGAAACTTGCACCACACACATTTCTCATGCTGTATATATCTACAAAGTATAATTCAAATCAATAAAGATGGAGAGCTCGTCGATCTGTGCAAGGAGTGGTTCATATTGGAAAAAGAAAACCATTAACACTATTTCCCTGTTTGACATCCATTTTTTCTCATTCTCATTCTCATTTTTCTTCTCTTTCTTCATTTCATCTACACATTCTATTAATAAAATAATACTACACATAGATCCAAAAATTCTCATTACTTTTTAACCACACATTCTTCCATCAATCACTATTCCAGAATTTCTTTTTTGTCAAAAATGGGTGTCAAACGGGGGCTCGGGAGATCAAGAAGATAACAAAGTGGCTAGGAAAACTCGAGATTCTATGAGAAATTATACACCTAGAAATGGGTTGTGTAGGGATGAAATTAGAAATGTGAAAAAAGATGAAGAGGAGGTGGAGGCCAACGTTGGGTGGGTGCGGTGAAACCGTCTGGTAGCGGTGGTTTTGGGGTGGGGGCGGTTATGTGTAGGAGTGGGCGTGACACTGTTATATCCAAGTTTGCAGCTGAAGTTAAAAATAAGTAAATTACTTAATAAAATATATGAAAAAATAAGTAGCTTAAACCTAACCAAACATGTCAAGAACATGTATCGTCATTTTAGTTGATAAACTGGTGTCATTCGAACCAAAATTCTTTATTTTAAACAAGAAATGGGAAAAATGTTCAGAGCCAAATCCTTTTTGGTACATAGGGACCATTCACTGTCAAAGCATTAAAAACTTGAAAGATTTGACAAATTCATCCAGATTGTATATATTTTTACCAGCCAAAGCAGGTTTAACAGATAAGATAAACAACGCACTTGTTGAACACAGTAAATATTCAATATAACAATGAAAATCAAAATACTAGTTCACCCAGCGCAAATTCAAACACGGTTTCAAATCCTTTTTCTATCGGAACCCTTTTCTTGATATCTCACGAAAAAACTCGAATTGCAGCCAAAAAAGGTCCACAAAGGAGACATATAAAGAAGACAAGATTCTCCCACTCAAATCCACCAAGGAAGCAACCCCACAACCAACAGTATTAGCACCAACCATTTTCACAAGATGCCAGAATATGGTAGGTCAATCAACAAAAATGTGGTCTCAGTCTCATGGAAGGACAGCAAACAAGTAGAGTTATGAAAGGTGCACTGTCTCACATCATCAAGATAAACAAGCCAAAACATAACCATGCGCGAGAGAAAAATGAAAGGGAAAATGCAATCAATTTATTTGGAGTTTAGTGATAGAGGTTCCATCAGTACAAACATAGACAATAAATCAGTACATTAGAGGACCATTACAACACATTCTAATTAACTTCTATACGGCTAGGATGAAAATCTAATTCATTGAACATGAAAACTACGACCTGCTTTCCCTTTCCTTCTGTTTCTGATGATCTGTTAGTATATGGGCAAGTTAAAAGCTCTTTTATGATACAGATCATTAGTCTACAGTCTAATCTTGCTACCCCGCTGTTTTTACAAGTAACCATTTAATTTAAACCTGCAAGTTTCCTATGATTTTTCATCATCTTTCCCAGTATTAAACAAGAAACTGCAGAAGTCTGGCAAAAGCAAATCTAAGGTTTGAGTTTCACCCATTCATAACGTCCTGGGAGAGGCTTGTCAGTCAAAGGATCAAAGTTGTACCTGTAGAACAAACAGTGTTACACATTAGAAAAAAAGAACATTTTTGACTGATTCAGCCACATCACTAAGTATTACACAAGAAATTTTGCAGAGATATGGGTATTCGTACTTCTCAACAAATTGCTTATGCTGTTGATTTTCTGCACAGGAGAAAAACTCTTTTATTTCATTTGCAATTGGGATGTCTCTTTGTATTAGGTTTTGCATTCTGCTATTGGCATCATTTCCAGCGGTAGCCCTGTTACTAGAACCAGGAGATCTGATGGTGTCTGAGTCCTTGATCAAGCTGCAAGACGTGCTTTCTCTAGTGGTCCTGCACAATAAGAATGTTAACCCCGTTACTATTATTTATGAGGGGCGAGAAACTATTACTTTCATTTTATTTCTCACGACTCATCTCAGTCGAATCATGTGGCATGTGCCCACATTCATTTTCAATTGTAACGTGTACTAGACTTCACAATTAAGACTAAGATACCATACAACATGCTACAACAGATGCAAAGCTTTTAATGACCACGACATTTTACTTGACCAACATTTACAGTAACTGCAGACTTGCTCATTCTATTTCTTACACGTCTATGACATAAACAACAGGCATTTGAGTGTGTGCCCCTATCCTATGGGCAAGTTACATGGGTACCGGGGAATACCAATTATGATACAGAACGACAGCAGATCAAGCAAGCCACTGAAAACTTTATTTTCCTGTTGGCTTCTTTCACATTAAAACATGGGGTGGTGGCAGCCACAAATTATATAGATACTTGATTTCTTTACCAGATTGTTTAAGATCAGGCTTCTTGGTAGATTATGAGCTTTGGGAGGTCCCTTGGTCCAAATCAGATGTGAACAATACTAAAGCAACAGCAGATAGAAGTCAAAGAAATAGTACAAGGACGGAAGCAAAGAAGGGATATAATGCATTCAATAACTGCAGTCGAACAGAAATTGTAACTGAAAAGAGGCAATAGAAAAGGCGAAAACACTTTACTTGAGGTAGTATAGCATAAATGACGAAAGTTTTTCTGTAATTGCATCAACAAGTAATGATTGGAATAAAAACAGTTGTGCAACTGAAAAAGTTTTTGGATCACAAAAGGTGTTATGTTATTAGATTCCCAAAAATATCAAAACCTGATAAAAAAAGTACAGTTTAAAAACCGAACAAAAATGAAGTCAAACTCGAATATGATCAACAGAAGATACGAAAATTCATTTCTCTTCTGTCACCTAGCATTTCTCGGCAGCAGCAGAAATCAAGAAAATCTCTACAGCACTTTTTGTCCAAGTTTGAAAAAATAATGAAATCATGATAAGGGATATGCACGAACGAAAACTCAAAAGCAAGGCAATACAATGATAATTACCTATCCATAAATAGAAAAAGCTAAGTCCTACTGAAAATGGAAGCAGCTTGAGCTGAAAACAAATCAATAACAGAAACTAGAAAAAATTATTTCAATCTTTTCAAATTTCAATATATGGATATGGACTTTTGCATAAATTAATTTAATCCATATGTTCATTCAAATGAAGAGAAAAATGATCCAATTCATGTTCCACAGTTCCTCACTTCTCTTATCAAATTCGCAAGAACCAAAATGAATAAGTTTAGAAATTCATTTAGCTTTCACTCTGTTTTCATCAGTAAGAACTTTTATTTGATTTTACAATTGTTTATGAAATTGATTAATGTATTTTAAATGTATAACAGAGCAAAGTCTTGAACTTAACAAGCCGATACATATAATATGTATTTGAACCCACAACTAAAACATAACAGATTGAAGATCCAAATGTAATTTCCAGAATTTCTCATCTTCCATACAGATTAAACGATTTACCAGAAGCTTCACATAAAAATCATCCAAACCATTTAAACTTTGCACATCCAAACAAAAAGTAGATTTCAAATAACTCAAATTTTCCAAAAAATTTCTTAGCCCCATATAGGGAGAAAACCCTCAAATCAGAAATTAACTTAAGTAATTTATTATTCACACACACTGGAATAACAGAAGCCCCAAAGATTAGTTTTCTATAAATTCCTCACATTTTTTATCAAACAAAAAGAACACAAAGAAAACCCCCCATCCAAATGAATATCAAATTCACAAAGAAAATTTGTATAAACCAACACGCAGAACTTTATTGGGGAAAAAAGTAAATAGAAACGCAAATCTTTATTTCCCCAAATCTAGAACACTATTTAGCAACCATCAAGAGCATAGATTAAATTTAGCCCTCGTGCGAGTTCCATTTTTTTCATCAAAATGTATTTTTGAACAGTGATTTGACAACATTTCAATCTCACACTCTTCGATCAAATAATATTACACGCAAATTTAAAACTTTTCCATATCTTTTAACCACAAATTCTATGTCATAACACTATTTCAAAATGCTTTTTATTATTTTTTTGGAACAAAATGGGGCTCAAACAATTAATTAAAAGAAAAAACCCAATTCACCAAAAAGAAGAACATAACTCAATTAAAAAAAAGTTAAGTCTTTACATGCAAATCAAAAGACGATAAGAAAAAAAAAAACCCAATATGCTACAAACCCAAATTCACCAAAAAGATTGAGTCTTTCAACATGCAAAAGCAGAAACAGGCAAATAAACAAACAGGTGTAAAAAAGGTTCTAAAAAATCACCTTCCTTTGTCTTCAAGTTCAAGCACATTTTCTCCAAAAGAAGCCTCCACCGAGCTTTCCTTCTGTTTTTCCTCCAATTTTTCCTTTTCCTTTCCTTTCCCGGGATTTTCCACGCTGTTGGGCCACGCTCTAGCCTTGTTTGAATTTGGCTCCTTCTCCAGGGAAGGATGTTTCAGTCTTTTCGCTTCTGTAGCAACTTGGGGTGCGGGCTTCTCCAGCCGTCTGTTCCTCAGCTGCATGTAGCACCCATCATCACAGCCTTCAGCCGCCACCGCGGTGACGGCGGAGGATTTCTCTAGGCGTTGAAGGGCTAGCGTTTTAGACCTCGTCCGGACCCCGACTGAGCATTGGGCATGGCTAACCGCCAATACTCCTGTTGTCTTTGACTTCCTTATGTACTTTCCCATTTCTTCTTCTCTTTTCCACTACTCTCAATGTGCCTCGTTCTTGTATGAATGTGGGTTCTATCAAAACAACATTCTACAGAAGGATTACGAAAGAGCCCAGGTGGGCGGGTGGGTGGTTTGTAGGTGTTTCTGTGTGCGTTTCTTGCTTTCACTTGTTACTTAGGAGAGAGAAATCTCACTGTACGACCCTTGATATACAAGGTGAGAAGAAGAGGAGCGGGGAAAAATTATGTCCAGGATCATTATTTTAAAATTTTTTTATTCTCCTACTCATTTTTAATTATATATTCATGTTATAAAATATTTTGTACGTAAATTAAATTTTTTTTTTTTTACTTTCTAACGATATCCTCCAAAAATTGCTATTCAAAATATTATATTTTCGAAATAATGGTCATCAATCAGGGGTTGAATATATCGGCACTTTTGTCTCATATTTATGATAATATGCGATCTTCCTATTTGGATGCAACCATTTGTTGTTTTTTATTTGATTAGGATTGGAAAAAGCTTTCAAATTAAATTAAAATAAATTGGATTCGAATTGTTCTATTCGATTCGATTCTTCTTAGGTTAAATATTTGAATGAGTATTAGAATCGAGAATCAATGAGTTTTGTTCGGTTATCGATTCTAAATCATAAACTGAATAAGAATCTAATCGAATTTCCCTAATTTTTTTATATTGAATAAGTCAAAATATTTTAATTTTTTTTTTTCAAACAAGTTTGTCAATTAAGTAATTAACTATAAGTACCCAAGACTCCAACTCCTGCGGCCAAGTCCAACTTGAGCCCAAAATATTTGTTTCCTACATTTCAGCCTAGTCTCAACCTCACTTCACAATTCACCCAACACTCACTCGTTCTGTCATTTAAGTTTTGTTGTTGCCTTCTTTTCAATCATTCCTCTCTTACTGATCACACTTCATCTTGGGTTTATC